TTCTTTAGTGATGGTAACATGATGACCAGAAATCATACCGTCACTAATGACAGCTTTCATAATGATAATGACGAGACCCGCATGCACAGCTGAAGAGGTCTCCGCCATTCAGAGCCAAGAGGACTGGAACCGTATTCTGTAGTTAAGAAAATATATGAAGCCGACTCTCCTCTTCCTCGGGGCTCATTCACGGCCCCGCTAGCATCTTTCAAGACAGCGAGACACTTCTTCCCTTCTCACTGTGAGCTGGAGACCCTCTTCCCGCGACCCAAATAACCCTTCACGGCGGGGAGACGAAAACCGGAGGGCAAGGGGACTCTCTTTTGTCTAATGCTCTTTGCAAAGCGTGCATGTCACTTGTACCGCCCGGAAAAAGCGACTCGATTGGTTGTGAGGAATGCAGGTGGTGGTGAGGATCTCGTGTCTTTCAGCGTCGAGAGAACGGCGGCAGGATGGGATGTTGTGCATTGTATGTCACACTTATAAAGAATAAATGAATGAAGGCATATTCAAGCAGTTGAATATGCATACAAATCCACACACAAATCCTCACAAAACACACAGACACACGTAAGTGAGCAAGTACGTATGCAACTCTTTCTTACAGTTGTCTGTTAGAGGCGTGTGTGGCGGGTAGGAGGGAGAAGTGCGGGCGAGAGAGAGAGAGAGAGAGAGAGAGAGAGAGAGAGAGAGAGAGAGAGAGAGAGAGAGAGAGAGAGAGAGAGAGAGAGAAAGAGACAGAGAGAGAGACAGAGACAGACACAGAGAGAGAGAGAGAGACACACAGAGAAGAGAGAGACGTAGAAGGAAAGGAAAATAGAAAGAATATCTGTCGTCTGAATGGTTTTGTCGTCTAAGCCTCAAGAACTCAAAGCTCAAGACCAGACAACACGAGCAATCAAAGTTTAGAAGATTACTCAGGCCCAATCTAAGTTTATAAGCACGGAAGTAGTCAGTCCGAGTTCCTGATTTTAGTTTTGCAAAATATCAATATTCTCAGGACACTAAATAAATACACAGATAAATACGTATGACAAGTAATTATAAATACACTAGACTATCCTCGCATAGTCAGATCAATACAATAATAGAATGTAGTTTCGCTGGTGTGTAATATGTGTATGTATATGTATGTATATATATATATATATATATATATATATATATATAATATATATATATATATATATATATATATATATATATATATATATATATAATATATATATATATATATATATATATATAATATATTATAATATAATTAATATAATATATATATATATATATATATATATATATATATATATATATAATATATTATATATATATATGTTTATGTATGTATGTATATTATGTATATATACACGGCACACACATATAACACATATATATGCATATACATATATATATACATTATTTATTATACTTACATACATATATATATATATAATATATATATATATATATAATATATATATATATATATATATATCTATATAAATATCTCTCTCTCTATATTTTTTTCTCTTTCTTTTTCTTTTTTCTTTCATGAAAGCTGTCAGATCTAGGTTCTTCAGGTTGATGACGAAACCAAAATTTAGCAAAGACGAAAGCATAATCCCCGACAAGGGATTCTGATTAGGTACTTCCAGACATGAAATGAAACGACACGCTAATCAGACAATCAATACAGACAGGATACCGTCCATATCCAGTTTCTGCTTTACGGTGATTTTTTTTTTTTTTTTTTTTTGGGGGGGGGGGGGGGAAGAAAGAACAATTAAGATAAGAAACATGAAGTAAAAACATAGGAGGAAATGAAACGCCTTCGCCAGTACGCCATTGAATCATTCCAGACCTAAAAAAACAGTCAATAAAAATCACTTTTCTGATCAGAAAGCTGTCAATAACGGCGCGCTTTCCAACAGAGAGCGCTCGACCGCCTTCCGCGCTGCCGGTTTTATGGATTTATCAATTCACTTGCTTCCTGCGCGGAGTGATTTGCCCGTTCATCAAAGTATCAGTTTAGTTTTATTTTATTATTATTATTTTTTTTTTTTTTTTTTTTTGAGGGAAAGGGTAATATTTGGTGATTTGCCTCTTCAGGGTGTCATTTTAGTTAGTTTTTTTTATTATTATTTTTTTTTTTTACTATTTTTTATTATTATGGTCACTATTACCATTATTACTATTATCGTTGTTAGCATTATTATCATTTGATTGCCTCTTCAAGGTATCATTTAGTTAGTTTTTTTTTATTATCATTATTTTTTTTTTTTTACTATTTTTTATTATTATGGTCACTATTACCATTATTACTATTATCGTTATTACCATTATTATCAGTGGTGATTTCCCTCTTCATCAAGGTATCATTTTACTCTGTTATTGTTTTTTTTTTTTTTTTTTTTTTTTTACAATTTTTTATTATTATGGTCACTATTACCATTGTTACTATTATCGTTATTACCATTATTATCATTGGTGATTTCCCTCTTCATCAAGGTATCATTTTACTCTGTTACTGTTTTTTTTTTTTTTTTTTTTTTTTTTTTTTTTTATTATTATGGTCACTACCATTGATTATCGTTATTACCATTATTATCATTGTGATTAACCTAATCATTGGTGATCTGCCTCTTGAAGGTATCATTTTAGTTAGTTATTTTTCTTTGACTTTTATTCATTTACCTATTTTATTTATTATTAATTTTTTTTTCTGGGAGAGGATAATATTTAGATAAGATAATAATAATATAATAATAAAATAATAATAATAATAATAATAAAATAATAATAATAATAATAATAATAATAAATAATAATAAAATAATAATGATAATGATAATAATAATAATAATAATAATGATAATAAGAAAAGAACATTTAATCTTTATTTGTTTTACTCATTCTTCATTCTGATATGAAAATTCAATCTAAAACCATGACAATCCTTACAGAAAGAAGAGAAAAAAGACATTTAAATGTTGCATTGCAAGAATCATACACTTTCACAACGATAGATCCTTCACGTTAAGCCTACCACGATCAGCCCATTCCGCGGACTCTCTACCTTGAGACTGCCTTAAGAGGTTCCCAAGAAAGTCAAATTTTCTCAAGGACGAGGCGTATGCTTGAGGGACATGCTGCTCTCCCATGCTTGCGGAGACGGGTTGGAAGTCTGTGGATTTTTCGCAAGAATTCGGTTGGCATTTATTTATCTATTTATTTATTTATTATTATTATTTTTTTTTTGTTACCGATTATTATGGCTATTGTCATTTTCATTACTGCTGTTATTATTATCATCGCTATGATAATAAAAAAAAAACATTATTCCTATCATTTTCATTATTATTGCTTTTTTTGTATCATCTTTTTTATCCATTATAATAAATAATATCATTATCATTACTATTCTGGCTATTACGATTACTATTATCTTAATCAGTAAAATTAGTTATATTGTTATCATTATTATAATTATTTTGATTATTATCATTATTATTATTTTCATTATCATTATCATTATTATCATTATTATTATCCTTATTGTTATTATCATTGGCATTATGTTGTTGTCGTTGTTATCATTATGACTACCATTGATATTATATTTATCACTTTTATCAGTTCTATCACTAATACTTCATTTCTATCAAAATCCTTTACAATCATTATTTATAACTTTTATCATTATCTTTGAAATAGTTTCAATTATCAATGTTGTTTATTGTTATTACTATCATTATCATTGTGAATATTATTGTACTCCTTATATATATTATTATTATTATCATTATTATCATCACTATTATCATTGTTATTACTATTTTTTTTTGGTTATTATGGTCACTATTACCATTATTGCTATTATCATTATTACCATTATTATCCTTGTGATTAACCTAATCATAATCTTTATTATAGATTCCATTATTATCATTGTTATTATAATTATTATTATTATCATTATTATTATTATCATTATTGTTATGATTTTCCTCATAATTGTTATCATTTGTATGTCTTATTGCCATTATTATTATGAAATAATATCATTGATAATAATCATTACAATTATAATCACTATCATCATAGTTATCATAATTGTTGTCATTGATTTTATCATCATGATTATTATCATTATCATTATTATCGTCATCATCATCATCAATATCATCATATTATCCATCACACCATAATTATCACAATTATCACCAGAAATATTTCTCAACTGTTTTTGCTATCATAACCATTGATATCATCATACACAGCAATGCTATAACTTAAGAAATGTGAAACTGCATCACGCTGGTTTCGAAAACTGCAGCACCTATGGACTCTACAGAAAGGAAACCGTTCCTATAACCGTTGAAGTAAAACTGTTGTTCCTGGTCGATTCATAGGCCTGAGTTATAAGACTTCGATAACCCATTGATACGAGTGACGGAAAACTTGTAGAATCAATCAGGATTAGATATTAACATACGGTGGATAGATTCAGTATCATGAACGTGTACATATATTCAAGCATACGCACACATGCACACACACACACACACACACCACACACACACACATACACACACACACACACACACACACACACACACCACACACACACACACACACACCACATACACACACCATATATATATATATATATATATATATATATATATATATATATATATATATATATATATATATATATATATATATATATATATATATATTATATATATATATATATAATATATATATATATTTTATATATATATATATATTAAATCTTCTCTCTCTCACTCTCTCTCTCTCTCTCTCTCTCTCTCTCTCTCTCTCTCTCTCTCTCTCTCTCTCTCTCACTCCACACACACACACACCACACACACACACACACACACACATATATATATATATATATAATATAATAATATATATATATATATATATATATATATATTATATATATATATATATATATAAACACACAC